AAATGTTTGAAAAAACTGATACAGCACTGGAAACATTCACTCATTTATGCCAAGAAATACGGAAGACAGTCACCTAGCCAACTGACTGGAACAGACCCATACTTGTGCACATTTAAATAAAAAAAAAGGTGACCAAACAGAATGTGGAAATGACTGAATACCATCATTATCACATACAAGCAAAATTTTGCTGAAGATAATTCAAAAACAGTTGCAACAACCATTGACAAGGAGCTGCTAGAAAATCAAGCCTGATTCTGAAAAAGCTGAGGAATAAGGGATATCATTTTCTGATATCAGAAATTGCTGAAAGCAGAGAATACCAAATGATGTTTACTTGTGTTTTACTGACTATGTAAAGGCACTCAACTGTGTGGATCCGAACCATGGATAACAGTACAAAGAAGGATATTTCAGAACACTTAGTTGTACATTTGAGTCCTGGTGTGGTGCTGTAGGTTAATGCACTGGTTTGCAAAGTAGCTTTGAACCACAAGGTCAGCAGTTCAAACTCACCAGCTGGTCCTCGGAAAACCTATTCAGGGTCTCTATGGGTCAGAACAAACTCGACGGCACTTAACAGCAACAACAATTGTACACAGACCAAGAGGCAGCTGTTCAAATAGACCAAGAGGATATTGTCTGATTTAAAATCAGGACAGGTGTGTGTTGGGAATGTATCCTTTCACCATACTTTTTCAATCTGTATGCTGAGCAAATCATCCAAGAAAATAGACAATATGAAGAAAATGGTATGAGGATTAGAGGAAGGTTCATAACAACCTAAAGTATGCAGACGACACAACCTTACTTGCTGAAAGCAAAGAGAACTTGAAGCACTTACTGAAAATAAAAGGACACGGTGTTCACTATGGATTATAACTTCATGTAAAGAAAATAAAAATTATCACTACTAGACTAATAAATATCATAATAAATGGAGAGAAAAATGAAGTAGTCAAAGAATTCATTTTGCTGGGATCCACAATCAACGCTCATAGAAGTAGCAGTCAAGAAACCAAATGATGCATTACAATGGGCAAAGCAATGCCAACAGACCTCTTAAAAGTGTTATAGAGCAAAAACGTCACTTTGAGGGCCAACATAAGCCATGGAAATACCAGTTGAACAGTGAATACAAAGGACCAGAAAATAACTGATACACTTGAATCATAGTATTATAAAATACTATTGAAAGCATCATGGATCCCAAGAACAACAAACAAACCTGTCCTGAACGCAGTACAATCACAATCTTCCTTAGATGAGTGGATGGCGAGACTTCGTCTCATGTACTGTGTACACGTGATCAGGAGGGGCCAATCTCCTGAAAAGGACATGGTGCTTGGCAAAACAGAGGGTCAGCTGTGGTGCTATAGGATCAGTACTCGACTGCTAACCACAAGGCTGTAGGTCAAATCCACCAGTGGCTCCTTGGAAACCCTATACAGGGTCACTATGAGTCAGAACTTACTCAGCGGCACTTAGCAACAACAATACAATAAAATAAGAAGACCCCAGAGAGAGGGACTGGCACAATGGCTACAACAGTGGGCTCAAAGATAACAATTAAGACGATGGCACAGGATTGGGCAGTGTTTCTTTCTGTTTTACATGGGTCATTTTAAGTTGTAGCTAAATCTACAGAAACTAAAAACACCACCACGTATTTGTCAGTTTGTTGTATTTTGATGGCTTGCCAGTTGCTGTGATGCTGGAAGCTATGCCAACGGTACATCAAATACCAGGAGGGTGACTCACAGTGCAGCTTCCAGACTAAGATAGACTAGAAGGAAGGAAGAGGCAGTTCACTCCTCAAAGTTTAGCCACTGAAAACCTGAAGAATACAAAAAACAAAACAAAATCCACAGTTTATTGAGTTGATTCCAACTCACTGAAACCTTACATAACCGCGAATACTATCTGGATGTAAGAAGAGACTCTGAAATGTGTTCTTGAACGTAAAGAAGCTAAAGCAACTGGAAGAAATGATGAAGCAAAACAGTTTGTAATATAGTGAATTTACCAAATCTGTGTCGTCTAGCTATGGGCTTTGTAATTCCCACCATATGACTGAGTGGGACTATACATACAGGGTGTAAAAACTTTAACATGGGGATTGGCTAGTTTCACCAGCTGGCTAGGTTTAAAAGCAGCCATCTCAAAAACAGGAACAGATGATTCCAAGACCATCAAGAAAGAAGAGCCACAAGTCAAGCACAAGATTGCTGTGCAGAAAAGCAGCAGCAGCAGAGGTGACGACAGAAGAACGAAGAAAAAGAGCAGACTGATTAAAGCTTCGTGCTTGTAGAATAGGCCCTTTAGGCATTTATCTGTGGCACTAAATGACCTTGTAGCACTTGCCCAAGCAGGACAGAGGCCACGGGGGCCCATGGCTGAGAGATCAAGGACAAGAGAGAGGTTTGCCTGCCGTATGACTTAGAAAAGGCACTCCTGACTGGCGAACTACAACTCGTATCTTGAGTTGTTTCTGACCCTAAATTGTACTGTTAACTTTCCTAATAAACCATATAATTGTACCATTGCAATAGATTATCAAGCCTAGCAGAGAAGTAGAATGACATGAGAAGGAAGGCTGGTGCCAGAATAGAAGGTTGAAGGACACAGGCATGTCACACCTCTGCCTCACAGGTATCATTAGCTTTGAGCTGCTGTGGAGTTTGATTCCCCTTCTTCCCCTTATGAAACTGGAGAAATTCAGACACAGCCCTCACACCATTGTTGAAGAGCTGAACAGAAAATTTCAAAGGGCAGCTCAAGAAGATAAAATACTATAATGAAACGAACAACGACCTGGAATTATAAAACAAAAAGGGCAGGAACACAGCCTTGGCGTTTCTCAAGCTGAAAGAACTGAAAGAAAAATTCAAGCCTCAACTTGCAATATTGAAAGATTCTGTAGTCAAAATTATTAATGATGCAGGAAGCATCAAAAAAAGAAAGAAACAATACAGTCATTGTACCAAAAAGAATCAGTCGATATTGAACCATTTCAGGAGGTGATATAGGATCAAGGACCAATGGTTATTAAACGAAGAAATTAAAGACATTGGCAAAAAAAAATACTCCAAGAATTGACAGAATACAAATTGAAATGTTTCAACAAACTGATGGAGCACTAGAGGTTCTTACTCATCTATGCCAAGAAATTTAGAAGGCAGCTACCTCGCCAACTGACTGGAAGAAGATCCATATCTATGCACATTCCAAAAGAGAGATGATGCAACAGATTAGGTAATCATTAACAAAAATCATTACTATCACATGTAAGTAAAATTTTGCTGATGATAATTCAAAGCCATTATAGCACCACACAAAAGGGAGCTTCAAGAAATTCAAGCCAGTCTCAGAATTGGACATGGAACAAGTGATATCATTACTGACATCAGATGAATCGTGGCTGAAAGCAGAAGATAGCAGCAAGATGTTCAGTTGTATTTTATTAACTCTGTAAAGGCATGTCGGTGGTTCAAGCTCACCAGCTACTCCTCAGAAACACTATACAGGGTCATTATGGGTCGGAACCGACTCGAGTACACTAAACAGCAACAACGGTATTCAACTGTATGTATAGGTCATAACAAACTATGGATAACATTGCAATGAATAGGAAATCTACAGCATTTTATACTGATCATATGGAACTTGTACATCGACCAAGAGAGAGTCATTTCAACAAAACAAGGGGAAACTGAGTAGTTTAAAATGCATCATAAAAGGTTGTTATTGTTGTTGTTAAGTACACTGAGTCGATTCCGACCCATAGCGACCCTGTATAGGGTTTCCAAGGAGAAGGTGGTGAGCTTGAACCACTGACCTTGCAGTTCAAATGACTTTGCAGTTTGATGCATTAGTCCACAGTTCCACATCATGAAAGGTTACTGATATGTAAACTGTGCCTTTAAAGCATAATTTACATACTTAGAAAAACTTACCAGAAATATTTACGGGAGAAATAAAAATATTACTACCATTTCTTCTTATTTGTATCAATAATTTTACTATTTCTGAGTATATTCTTATACCTGTAAAAAGCAATTTATTGTTGATGCTAAGTGCTGTCAAATCAGTTCCAAGGCACAGGGATCCTGTATAGGGTTCAGAGGAGCGGCAGATGGCTTTGAACAACCAAATTTGCATTTCAAACCAAGCTTGGGGTACAAAGCTTATCCTACAGTGCCAAACAATTTAGTCATGTTCATAGTGTATAGTGGAAAAATTATTTCACTATGAAAACAAAAATAATAATACTCTTATTAACAGTTAACTTGCTTTAGGCATGATTTTAAAGGCACTCTTCTAAACCCTTTACTTGCATCACCTCTTTTATCCTCATCACTTTATGAAAAAGGTACTACTTCTTGTTGTTAGGTGCCATCGAGTCAGTACTGACTCATAGCAACCCCATGGACAACAGAACAAAACACTGCCTGATCCTGGGCCAACCTCACAATTGTTGCCACGCTTGAGCCCACTGATGCTGCCAATTTGCCAATCCATCTTGCTTGGGGGTCTTCCTCTTTTTCTCTGACCCTCCACCTTACCAAATATGATATCCTTCTCCAGTGACTGGTCCCTCCTGAGAGAATGTCTGAGGTATGAGACAAAGTTTGGCCATCCTGGCCTACAAGGAGCACTCTGGCTGAACTTCTTCCAACACAGATCTGTTAGTTCTTTTGGCAGCCCATGGAACTTAACAATAGTCTCCTCCAACACCATAATTCAAAAGCATCCAATTCTTCTATGGTCTTCCTTATTTACTGTTGTGCTCTCGCATGCATATGAGGTTGGTGAAAACACCATGGCTTGGGTCAGGCGCACCTTAGTCCTCAAGCTGACATCTTTGCTCTTCAACACTTTAAAAAGGTCTTGTGCAGCAGATTTGCCTAATGCAATATGTCATTTGATTTCTTGACTGCTGCTTCCATGAGTGTTGATAGTTGATCCAAGAAGAATGAAGTCCTTGACAACTTCAATCTTTTCTCCGTTGATAAGAATGTTGTTTATTGGTCCTATGGTGAAGATTTTTGTTTCCTTTACATTAAGATGCAATCCTACTACCCCATTTTACAAATGAGAAACCTATGAAGCACTAAGAAGTAACAGCTGTGTGATGGTGGCATGTAACTAAGTGGCTGCGGTGGAATTCAAATCTGGCCGATTCCAAAATCAGAGTAAAAACCAAACTCACAGCCATAGAGTCAATTCCAACTCATAGTGACCCTGTATACAGGGCAGAGCAGAAATGTCCATAGGGTCTCAAAGGATAGATATCTGTCAGGAAGCAAAACAGGTAGTGGAGTTGGAAGCGACCACCCCTAGGTTAGCAGCTGAAAGCTTTAACCATTGTGCCAAAAGAGTTTTGGTAGGAAGTCAAGTTATTATAACTGGAGTTGTTTTGAGTCAGTTAGCTTCATACTCAACAAAGTACCAAATATAAAATTCTTTTTGAGAAGCAGGCAAAATAATTCATCATTATTCTCAATCAAAAACAGACTAGAGGAAATTTTTTCAACAAGAAAACCATCCCCAAAGTCCCCAATCTCACATTTCTTTGAAGATTCTCTCCCAAGGCCTCCTTCCCTAACTAACAAATCGCCTCCAAAGCAGCAATTCAAAGTTTTGGAAAAAATTAAATAAAACCATTACAGTCAAAGAAAAAAAAAAAACAAACTACCAGTCATACCTCCTCCTAACCCTTCTCTAGCTTGGGCATAAAGCGCCAAAAGTCTCTTTACAGCAGCACTGCCATCTCCCATTACCACTAAAGCTGGAAACAAAACAGCTTTCTTTCTCAAGTGTTTTAATACTAGTGTTTTACTCGTCCTGAAAGAACCACAGTACGCTGAACTAAAATTACTGAAGGACAGACACCATGCCTATTGATTCAATACAAGTAGGATAAATAAATGGTGAATGGAGGAAGACAATCATATTAATGAAAAGTGCAGCAATGTGTACATCAAACTTTAAAAGTTTGACACTCGGTTCAAGCTCACAGCCACTCCTCAGAAACCCTATACAAGGTCGCTGAGTCGGAACCTACTCGATGGCACTTAACAACCCTCAACTCCCCTGCAGTTTAAAAGTAAATACCATGTTTGGGCTGTTTCTCAATCCCACGCCAGCAGGGATTGTAGAAGGGCCAGCCAGTCATGTTTTCTGAATCCAAGGCTGGCTCGCCATCCGGCTGATATTTCTGCCCCTTCGCCAAAAACCCCTAAACGAGCCTCCGGAGAGACCTCTAATCTGCATCTCTCCGCTGCAGGACGTTAACTGACCCTATTCCTCCCGCAAATTCTCAAATGCAATCCGCAAAAGGGTGGCCGGGGGTCTTGGCCCCTCCCAGATGAGAAAAGTGTAAGTGGGCGTTTTCCCAGCTTTCGGTTTGTTTTCCCAGGGGACTTTGGCGTGGCCCGCCGTCCCCGGCCGCGGCAAGCCGACGGTCCGGCTCACCCTCGGGTAGCTCCACGGTTCGCGCACGGCGCAGCGAACGCGTCAGGCGGTTGAGCTGCTCCATGGCTCTCTCCATCCTCGGCTCGCCCGCAGTGCTCCGCCTGCTGCGCGGCCGGCCTCCCAGCCGATCGCCCTACATCCCGCCCCGGGCCCGTCCTGCGGGTTGAGGCGAGGGCTCCCTCCAATCACTGTCCGAGACTACGGGGCCCGTTAGCTCCCGCCTACTCCGTCTGGGGGCCAGGCGATTAGCTGACCGACCACCGAGAAGAACACCCGCCGATACCGCCGCTCGCGTTTTTCCTGCCCCCGTTGCAGCTTCCCTCCTGGGTTCGCACGGCCTTCTGGGAATGGTAGTTCCGCCCCTGCCGAGCTGCGCGTCGAGGGCGGAGCTACGCTGGGTGGTGCCAGGACCACCGTGACACCGGAATTAACGTCAGTGCTGGGGGTGCCTCAGGAAACTTCATGGAGTATTTTATTTACGGTGGTGGTGGTGATGTGCCATGGAGTCGGTTCCGACTCATAGCGACCCTATACAGGGCTGCCGAGGCTGTAAATTTTTAAGGGAACAGAAAGCCTCATCTTTCTCCCGCGGAACAGCTGGCAGTTTCGAATTGCTGACACTGCGGTTCACAGCCCATTCGTAACCTCTACCCTATCAGAGCTCCTTAGTACTACTAACAGCCTCCAGCAAAGTGGCAGCATCAATGTGCTCAAGCGTGGCAACAATTGTGAGGTTAGCTCAGGCTCCGGGAGTGTTTCGTTCTGTTGTGCATAGGGTTGCTATGAGTTGGTATCGACTTGATTGCACCTAGCATAACCACAACTACTGCACCTACCAGGTGCTTGGTCGCATAGTAGTTACCAGTAGGTCAGCAGTTCGAAACGAGTCGCAGTTCTGTGACGGAAAGATGAGGCTTTCTGCTGTCAGTTTATCTTACTGTGGTGGCTTGTGAATTGCTATGATTCTAGAAGCTATGCCAGTGGTATTTTAAATACCAGCAGGATCACCCATGGTGAACAGGTTTCAGATGAGCTTCCACACAAAGACAGACTAGGAAGAAGGAGTGACGAACTACTTCTGAATATTTAGTCTCTAAAAACCGTATGA